TTTTGGGGTTTTTATTTTTACTCAAAAGCAATTGGCAATAATTTATAAAATCGTCTGCAGTATTTCTCTCCAGTTTGTTTTGGAATTTTTGTGTTTTTTAGCTCTGTGCAGCCATGAATGCTAAACGAAAAGAAACTTTGCCTGAAATTCGAAAATTAGTTATTAATTTGCATATTGAACGTGGAAAATCTATTAGAGAAACTGCTGAAACAGTTAACTTGAGTCATTCAACAGTTTTCAATATCATTAAACGATATAAAAAGAATCATATGATTCAGGATAAAAGAAGACCTGGCCGACCATCAAAGCTATCCAATGGAATAAAGCGAATTATCGTTCGAAATATTAAAAAAAAATCCAAGAATGAGTGCTCCTAAAGTTGCTGCTGATTTACAAGCATTATATGGAGTAATTTTTAATCTGAGACTATTAGAAGAGTAATTCGATCTACTGGATATCACGGTAGAGCAGCCAGGAAAAAATTCTTCGTAAGTGAAAAGAATAGAAAACTCAGACTGGCTTTCGCAAAATCCAACATAAATAAGAATTCTGATTACTGGAATGAAGTTATATTTGCTGATGAGAGTAAATTTAATATATTTGGTTCTGACGGTAGAATCTTGGTGTGGAGAAAACCCAGGGAAGAATTTCGCAAACAGAACTTGGTGCCAACAGTAAAACATGGTGGAGGAGGAGTTATGGTATGGGGGTGTATGTCGTCCGCTGGAGTTGGTAATCTTGTTTTTATTGACAGTATAATGGATCAGTACAAGTATATTGACATTTTAAATCAAAATTTGAAATCTTCAGCACGAAAATTGAACCTTCATAACGATTTTAAATTCTCCCAGGACAATGGTATAAAAAAAGCACACTGCTTTGAACGTCAGACACAGACTGCTGTATAACTGTCCTGAAATAATAAAAACCCCATCACAATCTCCAGACTTAAATCCCATAGAGAATATTTGGCAAGAATTGGAATCAAGAATTCGCAAACACACCATTTCTTCAAAACAACAATTAAAATCGGTGCTTCAAGAAGAATGGGGTAAGATCACTCCAGAAATCACAAAAAAAAATTAGTCCATCTCAAGAAGATTAAATCATGTTTTAAAAGTAAAAGGAAATAAAACAAAATATTAAAACCTTTTAAAAAGTAAATTTTTTGGATAAATATTTGATGGAAAAGTAAGTGTCCCATCACTTATGCGAGCCATTTTTTGCTTCGTTCTAAACAATTGTATTTTTATTAAATGAATATTTTAATATTTTGAGAAAATGTATGTTATGTAATAATTGTTACTAAATTTAAGTATGAAAGACATTCACAAAAAATTTTTACATGTTTTTTTAATTTATTTTACCACAGTTTCCTTTTGTAAAGCACAAGTGTCCCATCACTTTTGTGAGACACTGTATGTCTTGAACGCGCGACTTATAGTATATTTTAGATTTATATATATTGTTTTAACATACGTTATTTTGCAAAAACTCTTTTTTTAGCTGTTTTTAATTGTATTTGGTATTTAATTTTTTTTTTTGTATTTTACAAGTTTGAATGAAGATGTTTTGAGTTATTTATTTTTTGCGTAGACACGAATCGATTGAATGAGAAATGCATCTCTAATGGAATTCCAGAAAATAAGTTTAAATGAAGTGCAGAAAAAAAAATATATGTATATATATGTGTGTACTTTCCTAGATCTTTCAATGAAGTCGTGGGGTGCCCACATCAGATACTTTACTTTCTCCTAAGAGTTTTTCACTTGCCGACATAACCTTTCATTTTATGTTAACCTTTTCATTTTCCCATCTATTTTGCATAGTCGGAAAAAGCATACAGTTTTTTCTTTCTTGGAGATATTTTTACTTTATCACATAAACAAAACTTTACTTTTTACTTAAAAATCATAAAAATGTTTTCACTTTTAGATATTTTTATTAGAATTTTATATTAATTATTGGAGTTGCGTGGTTGAATAATATTTCTTCAAATAATTGTTTTCAAATTTCTACTTATTCATTCGAACTTACTACTAAATAGTTATGAGGTTTACGAGAGCTATTAGCCGAATAATAAACATTTTCTCGCTGCCAGCATTCGTCAAAAAAAAAATGATTTGGTTCACTCTAATTGCATATACTATTCATTGTTCCTATTAGCGACCGTCACCACCTGGACATGCCGATGAAACAGCTCTAGTGGTAGACAGACTGTAGTAGTGTCTCGAAGAATGTAAACAAGGGTGGTGTGTGCAACGTGACTCATCGAACTCGAATCGTATTCCAAGCATATGTCGTAAACCACAACATGTTTGATAACTTATAACGGATTCTGTGCATCTATGTGGCTGACTAAAATAAAAAATGGTTTTTTTCAGACCTTTCTATGTACCGGTATTATTTAACTTGAAAAATAAGACGGACCAATAAATTGTGAGCTCGTTAAATTCTATAGATATGCTGCGTTTAAAAATTTTGTGTTTGTTAGGCGATTGATTTGTGAATGCGATGACCAGAGGATATACCACGATCGACGGGATATTTTTAAGTGTGTCAACTGATGTGTACATGAGCCCGTACAGTTACAAATATCCATCGTATGAGAGAATGGAATACTAAAAAATGAGTGATGTTTATAATTAACATTGAACCATAGGGTTTATAAGCCAATTAGATTTTACTTCAAAACCATCAACCAGAAGTTGATAGTTTACTTAAAGCTCGTTGCTATTCCACCAATTCTACGTCTTAACATGGAATTGGTCATTTTCTGGTCATATCATATTTTTTGTTCATGTTACGGAATAGCAAAATATAAATTTCTTACCTCAGTATCAATCTTTACTTTTCTTACAGTATTAGTCTTTACTTTTCTGGACAGTCTTTTCAGTTCTTTTACTGTCATATTCATGGCATCAGTCTGTAATATAGATTGAAAAAAATTACCACTCCTAAACTCACATAATTGCACAGTCTGTACAAGAAAAGTCTGAAATAAGATTTGCTCCAAAGTTTAAAAAACTGCGTTCATTAACTATTTCAATGTGACAATAAATCTTGATACAACTCCTGGCAATTGTTATTAACATAAAATACTACGTATTTTGTTAGTCATGTGATCAAAATTTATAACTGCTAGAGCAAGAGATTTAACTCTAATAGCCTTGAGAAACTATAAGCAAGCTAATTTCAAGGCTATATTGGAGTATTCAAGGCTCTACTGAAAGATTAGCAATACCCTTTCATACATCTCTCTCTATATATATAAAGAAGAATGTCTGTTTGTTTGTTCATGATACACTCAGTCACTACTATAGCTATCGTCACCAAACTTTCTATAATTCTTTTCTGGGTGCTGGGAAAGGTCGACGTCCACCTTTTTTCCCAAAAAAGTTCAATCGCTTGCTACGGGCAGTCTATGGAACTGACCAAATTAATCGGTAGCGAAGGCGGCCGAAGACCATCTGAGTGCACATGCGTGGCATTCACATATTTTATCTATATTGCATATATATTTTCTCTACCTGAGTGAATACCCGCTTCTTCAAACTGCGCTTTTACCAATATTCAATATTTTTTAATAATAATCTAATAAAATAATCTATAATAGTTCTAATAATATAATCTATAATAATCTAATAATTTAATATAATCTCCTGTTTCTTTGATTTTGATTGGTGAAATTTTTGCTTGTCACTATCAATCTAATATATACGCATGCGCAAATACAAAAAGAAAAGAACAGTATAATAGCAGGAAAATTTTGAAGGAATGTGGGCTCAATCTGAAACGAACAACTCAAGATTCTAATATCAAAAGTTATGGAGGAAATAAAAATAAAACCACAGATTTTCATCGATTTCTAATTTGCTTTGAAACAACAATATGCAATGCTGAATTTGTATCCACTGTTTCAACTAATTTCGATTATGATGGATTAAACATGACCACAGATCATCAGTTATTTTGTCGAATTGTTTTATTGATTACTTATCAAATGGAATATAGGTTAAATACGATGGCAGATATTAATGGTGTCAGGATTTTAATAAATCATTAAAGACACCCTACTTATAATACACTCATGTCCAAAATTATGTTTACATGCATAAATTCACGGATTTCTCAGAGACTATGACTTATAATTTAATGAATTTTCGTGGAATCATACATAACATGATGACACATAAATGCAAAAGAAAAAATTGAAGATCACCTCATATGATATAAAATTGTAGCATGAAACAATAAAAATGGTAATAAAGTGTGACAAAAAGAGTTAAGAAAAAAAGGAATGATTCAGAAAAAGAATTAAGTCTTACGAATTTAATATGGAATATGATTTCCCCTGACTTGTACACACATATCACAACGTGTTTTAAGGCTGGAAATAACGTTGTTAACCACAGTTTGGGGAATTAATCTCCACTCTTCCAGCAATGCCGTCTTCAGAGCATTTACATCTCTAGGAGGAGGATGTATACATGCAATTGCTCTTCCAAGGTAGTCCCATAAGTTCTCTATCGGGTTAAGGTCAGGAGAGTTTGGTGGCCGAGGTATTCGCTTAATGTCTTCACTTTCAAGGAATTCATCAACGAGGTTTTCTCGATGTGGACGGGCATTATCATCCATAAATAAAAAGTCAGGTCCATATGCACCCCTGAAAAGTCTTACATAAGGATCTAAGACCTCATCTCGATATATCTGGCCTGTCACAGATCCGCTGCTGAACACGTGTAGGGGCGTACGTCCATCAATCATTATTCCACCCCATACCATGACACCTCCACTACCGAAACGGTCATGTTCCACAATGTTCGAGGGATCATTTCGTGTTCCTGACTCCCTCCAGATGTAAACACGTTTAGAATCACCAGTTAAACTAAACCACGACTCATCAGTAAAGAGAACATGGGACCATTGAAGTTCAGTCCAGTTTTGATGTTCTTTACACCAATTAAAGCGATCCCTCTTTTTCTGTGAAGACAGTAAAACACATACCCTTGGCTTTCTGGCATACAGGCCTTTTTCATTAAGCCTTCTGTATATTGTTTGCCGTGATGCAAGAGTTCCAGTGGCGGCTGCAAGCTCTGAATTTAACTGGCGAGCAATAGCCTTTCTGTTACGACGGGCAGTTAATGCCAGATACCGATCTTCAGAAGAAGTTGTCATTCGTTTCCGACCTTGTCCAGGCCTTCTTGCAACACTTCCATCATTTTGAAACTGTTTCCATAGCTTAGAGACTGTCTGTCTTGAAATATTCAAACATGTGGCTGTTTCCATGATTGACTGCCCTGCTTTTAAACGGCCGATAATTCGCCACTTTACAGATTCTTCCAAATGATACTTCGAAGCCATAACAAACCGCTTTGAGTCCCTACACACTGAAATCAAACGCTATGTTGCAGAAATTCACTCAAATATTCAGTTTGCGCAAAGCGCTTGATTCACCCTTGGATGACGTAACGCCTAGATTTGCATATCACAAACCGTTTGATTACTTTTGATTGGATAATGCTAATTAAGCTTGGTTTTCACACATTCCCTGCAAATACGGATCACATTAATTCGATATTTCATTGAATATCATCATTTTTGGGTATGTAAAGATAATTTTGGACATGAGTGTATATTGGTAAAGGCCGCACTAGGCCGATTGCCTCTTAATTGTGTTACGACATAGATATATAATTTCAGTTTCATCTTTACTGTTTACCCAAATATTTTAAAGCATTATTTTATTTTTACGATGATTTCTGCATTTTTACTACATTTATTTGCATCTCTATTTTATCATGATTTTGTACTTTGGTTAGTGTATAGTGATCACGTGCTACTTCCTAGGACTTACTCTAAAGTACATTTATGCCATATAAGCATTATACCTCATCTAACTACTGCTAAAACTTAAGAAAACTGCTTTTCCGTCCAAGAAATTACTTACCCGACGTATATCTTCATTGTAGTTTTTCGGAAAATTTAACTTCCGGAGTATTGTACGAACTAATAGGTGACCCTAGGGAATAGGAGATTTATGGAAGTAAAGACCGTGGTAAAAGTTTACAATTGGGTGCCCCTTGTTTTTTGGCGATTCTTTTTTGACGCCAAGATCGGCGCCAGGAAGACACAATTTTAAGATGGCCGCTACGCAGAACCAAAATAAAAAGTCAAACAATTGCATAAACTCTGTGTCCATGTACACATCGATCTATTTTCATTTAAAAAGAAAAAAACATCCCAGAATTGCACAAACTAGGCATTGCGCACTGTTTAAATTTGTCCATGTACACATCAATCTATTTTTATTTAAAAAAATCAGGAGGCAAAGTTACACTATCATGGTAACCAGAAATAAGATTTCATCGCCAAAATTTTACAAAAATTATCGCTAATCGAAGGGGCACCCAATTCTACACTAGAACCAAGGCCGTAAGGTCGAAAACTTGTCACAGATGTATTTTATTGTTATTATTATTATATATTTTTCAGTTTAGTTCCTTCGTTACGACAGATCATTAATAAATATCACTAAGCCTAACAGACATTAAAGAATAATACTCACAATAGCATTAAATCTCTGCACAAGAGATTTTATTTTCTCCAAACGAAAAGACTGATCAGCCAGACGATCCTTCTCCATCTCGTATCTATTAAGAGGAATTTAAATGTAATAAAATTGTTAAGAATAAAATATCAATATATTTTTAATTTTACATGTGGAGGTATTTATATCCACAGTGTACAGTAACCATATAACATATGATAAGAGTTTCACAATGAACTGTATATAAAAAATATTGCTGCGTGCATACGGTTTCGTAATAGATTGAATGCACAAGTCTGATAAAAGGTTAATAAAATTTATTCTTATCACAAGTATTGTAATAAAATGCTAGATTTTTTCCCTCAAAGATATTCGTACAATATCACACAGTAGTTATATTTTAAACTAATAAAACGTTAAATAGTACGCAATCCAAAGCGCAAGGAAAGCTAATCCGATCTCACCGCGAATTCGCTACAATCAATAACAACAGTCAGTAGACAACTGAACTGAGATGTTTCTCTCCAGCTTTTTAAAGCCTTTTAATCAGTCACGAGAAGCTTCTGGTAATTTCCGTTTTCTCGAGATTTCTGGAAAGCAAAAGAATAGAATTACGAGATATCTAATTATTCATTGTTAAATGCGCGTGCTTCTGTATTTTTACTTTTCCAAGTACATGCTCCCAAAAGTGTCGTAACTACGATTTTTGAAATGACTCTGTATTAATAAAAGAAACTTTGAAGATTTTAAAATAGATATAATTGTAAAAAATTCAGAAATATTTTAAATATACAAAACTTTATTTTAAAAATAATAATCAAAAATGAAACATTTTCTCACAAAATTCGGACACTCAAAAAGATCTTGACATATTAGTAAATATTTCATTTTCGTTAAATTAATATCAGTTGGATATCCTTTAGCATCCGCACAACTTTGAGTATTGGGAATAGATTTTAATAGTTTTTGTAATTCTGTATCAATGATGTTCATCCATTCTTCCATCATGATGTTTCGCTTTGTGTTGATGTCGTGTTTCGTACTCTAACTCCAGTTCTTCAAATGTGTTCTATGGGGTTTAAATTGGAGAATGAGGTGGTGTTTTAAAAACCTGTGGACAATCATAGAGACACCACAGGAACATTGAGAGCCGTATGCTTAGGATCGTTACCATGATAAAAATAAAGTGTTTCAGTACCCAATTTTGGGCTGATATTTTTTATCTCTTTAACATTGAACTAAAGAGAATAATTCATTATGCCATCAATAAATACCAAATTACCTATCTTTATGCTGCCAAGAACCTAGAAGAAGTTCCTCATTTTTCTTCTCCATCGGAACCAAAAATGTTAAATTTGACCAGCAACTGGTTTTATTCATCCGTTGCGGGGTATTTATAATTTAATAAAAGCTAAGCTTTCTGTTTTTCACTAAAAAAAAAATGTAGTTTCAGGCTTGAACAGTTTCAGGTGAAGAAAAAAACGTTGCATAAAGTGTGCAGAAACTTTTACAGCACTCAACGTATTTTTTCACAAATTTTCTAATAATAAATCTCTTATCACGTTAGTTAACTTTCTCGGTCGATCTTTTCTTCCTTTTTTCATCGAATTTTCTTCTTTAAAGCGTTTAATCACATACTACACTGTAGAACGGGATAAATTAACTAATTAGCGATTTTCAATTGATTTACCACCACTATGGTGAAAAAATAAATTATCGGATACTGTATGTAATTTCTTAACTGCAACCCATTTTCAATATAAATAGAAATTATAAAGTAAACAATAAAAAAAGCAACGATTTTTAAATGCCACCACAATGCAAAAATTAAAAAAAGCGGCAAACGAAATTCTAATTTTGTTTTATCCAAAAATATTCAGTGTACGAAGACTTTGTGAGATAAAATGTTTGTCATTTTGTATTATTATTTCTTAAAAATAAGGTTTCGTTATATTTAAAAATATTTCATGTAATTTTTATGAAAGATTAGATCTTTATAAAATCTCATTCAGAAATTTACTTTGAATTATTGGATAGAGCCCTATTCAATGAAACATGTAGGAACACTTTGGGAGCACTGTAGCTTTCTCTTAAAAGTCTCGTGCTGCACTGTGAGGGGAATAAAAACAATTTAATTACAGTTTTATAAAAATAGCTAACTAAATACAAAATCCGTATTAATATTAAAATTTTACATGCTTTAAAAATTTCTCATAACGTACTTCCATGTTATACCTAAATACAATGGTGATCAAAAAGTTAAGATTTCAAAAAGGTAATTACACAAGATTGCTTCAAAATTTCACTTATTTATTTTAGGAATCAATTCATTCTGAGGAATGTAATATATGAATTTAGAAATACCGGTGGACTGGATTTAGAATTGTATGAATGCATGAACACTAGCCCCCCCCCTTTTTTTAATCTCCCGTTTTACTTCGCCGATTGACGAATTTCAACTTGCGTTTTTCATGTCTCAAAAGGGCGACTTAGGGTATTTACTAGATTTATATATAGCAGGCATGGTCACGTTTCTTTATTAATCACTAATTTAATTTCTTATATTATGTGAGAAACAATTTAATCAATTTCAAACTGTCCGCCGCAAAATTATCGCCAGAGTAACAAATAAAAATGCAAAAGATTCCGTTTCTGTCAATAGCTATTATGAGTTGTTATTTTTAGAGCAGATAATGGCCATCAAAAAAGGCCTACAGGAATACCACATTTATTCAGTCCGTGAATGATTTGGGTAACTGAAGAAACCTTTTTCAAGGAGGAAACTCGCTGTCCACGTAGAGCTCTTCCAATCTGGAGAGGAATTCGAAATCTGGGGATTTTTAGGATTGGCAAAGTAAACTTTCTCGTTCTTATTTAGTTAGGAGAGGTGCCCAATTTTTTCATGTGCGGGGGTGTCCTTTAAAATTAATTCTGCATCCCTAAGCAAGTAGATCATTTTTTTTTGTGTATTTCTTCACTATTCGCAAACTCACAGTAATATGCTGCGGTTAACACATTTTTCTCATGAAACTCTACCTTCCGTAAGAATTCCTTGGTAATTCTAGGAAGAAATCATAATTTGTTCATAAATGTTTGAGCATGCTAAAATTTTTTAGATCTCGGGCTGAACCACTTGTTTGACAATGAATTTAATTCTGCTCAAAGTTTTCAGTTCACGTTTTGTCAATTGCTATTATTCGAGATACAACTTCATCATCGTGTTGCATCAAGCAATGAAGGGTCAACTGGATACGAATATCTCTCTTCTACAAAACTTTTTGTCAAAATGCTGCATACTGATGCAGATGAAATCGCTTTAGCTTGTAATAGTTTCTTGTTCGTTGCTTGGTGAACTTCTCTCTTTTTACGTCGTCACAAATATCGCAGTAGGATCGTGGTATTTCTAAAAACTTTCACTTAGTTCACCTCACCTTACCTCAGTGACGTTGCACCGGTTACCCCTGCTCTGGTACCGGCATTATACTTTTTAATATGCTGATATTATTCATCTTCTTAATCGTCGATCATCATGTATGTTTGACACGTCCTTCACGAAAGCTGTGTAGACCAAAGGAATGCTGTAGTAATACGATCCACTGGCCTGTCACTATAAATTGCAAGCAAAGTAATGTGAAATTTTGCTGGATTTACATTTGTAAGTCTCATCTTTCATTTTCTACTGTCATAGCATCCTCATAAACGTACAGATTCCGTTTAAAAAATTCATTTCAAACTCCATTTCGGATTGTTTTCCCCCTATACTCATCTTGTATAACTATTAGAGTGAAGATTAAGTAAAAAGCGTTTTATTTTATTCTTTCCTCTGAATTGGAGTTATTTTTCTTTGAAATTTAACAAAAAACGATAAGTCAATTAATAATCTTTATGGGTCCAACAGTTAAAGCGTTTGAATGTGATGGATCCGTACATATGTGTAGCAAAGAACTCAGGAATTAAACTATTGTGTAGACGTCTACCATGCCTATGCATGTCCATAGAAATTTGGAGAATTAAAACTATCATATCATATCTGCATTTGTGAAGCAAATTCATTATAATAGTTACAGGTACATTTTCTTTTTGTACCATTAGTTTTGATTTTCCTTGTATTTGAAATTAGCTCAAAATTCAACAGCCACAGCTGAAACGTTCGACAGGGAGACAGTTGAAATACGTAGTCTAACGAAGCATTAATATATCATGGCATGAATCGTTAGATTTATTAGCAATAAGTTATCTATGCTCAGAATTATTGGGACAGCTTCGAGAATTTTGCGCAGGTATAATGATTACATAAAAATTCTGCCAGATTTACCTGGGTACTGAAATAGTGTACCACTCAGAGCAATCAGGAGTGACACAGATGCCATTACAATAAAGTTTAGTTTTTAGTTAATTTTTTTATACTGGGCATCAGTTAACTAGTCATTCCAAAGTTTTGGGTTAAAATGTTTAACTATTTCTAAGGTTAGGATTGAGAACATTCGAATGAC